CCGCGGGAGGCCTGCACGGTTATCTCTCAGAAAATGTGCCGCTTGCTTGCCCTTTTTCTCTAGAAGCAACGACAGTAGTCTTTGGGTCAGTTCCATAAGTATAAGCTTGTAATACTAGAGCAGTTATTTGAGCCAGGATGTATTTTACAGTGTGCTTTCACAAATGAGGAAAACCAACCCAAACTGGAAATCCTCTTTACTAACTTTAAGTTGTGTTTTTTCTCTGTTAAACTAGCAGTGTATTTGATTTATGTGTATTTCAAATGCATATCTAGAGATAATGTATTACAGAACTGAGGTTTGAATTTAACAGGGAATAGCAGAAATAAACTGTGCTGAGTTAATGAGACAAAAGTCTAAGGGAAGAATTCTGCAATCAGTATCTTACATGAGGTAGAAAAGTGTGTACACGTTACATCTGGTGTATCCAGACTGAACAAGTTAGCTTTCCCAAGTCTTTTATTTAGTTGTACACGGAGAAGTAAACTGAATAGAAAACTGTATATTAAGCTCTGCTAAACTTTTTATACGGATTTCCTAGTTTTACTACAGCTATGCTTATAAATATTTTTAATAAGGCTTTTTATATTAGAATTTTCTCTTTCCCTGATTTTGTAGATTTTGCAAAGTCAGGATTTTTTCAGGGCGCTTAACACATTTGTTTTATATTAAAACCAGAGAATACAGATCTGCTTAAAACCATAAAGAGAAAATAGCAAATTATATTTTTCGTAGCACAAACTTGTAGAAAATACTCTAATTGCCGACTATTTGTTTTTACAGAGTTTTTGTTCAGGGAGGTATTTTCTTATGATAGTGTTGTATAATGTACTTGCCCTGAGAAGTGTAAGTTTCTCTGAAGAAAAAAATAATCGAGTATTAAGGTTTTTATTTTTATTACTCTTGCTGAGACCAGTTTTGTATATTTGCCGTTCAGTTACATGAATTTGCCAAGACTTGTGGTAAAATCCTGTGGAGCTTGGAATATTTATGTTGACTCCTGGAGCTCCTATCCAATCTGAATCAATGACTGAATAAATAATTCTCTTTTTTTTTTTTTTTTAATGCAAGTTTTTCTTGTGTAATATGCCTTACATTACATCTGGCACCTGGTTTGTTTCTCCAGTTTGTGACGTCTGGATCGTATGTGGGAAAACTGATTTTTAGAACCAGTCATTAAACTTCCTTAGGTTTAATCTTTTTAGCAAGCCCCTCCCCTCCTCTCTCTATCACTGTAGTAGTGTTTCTAGCTGTTTTAATGTTTCTTGGCCAAATTACAGATCTGTTTCTGTGCACAGAGGATGCCAGTGCTTTTAAAAAGCAAAAATATGTTGCATTCTGTTATGGAGTAATACAGAATTTACATTTCATAGGAACTTGTTTAGGAATGCCTGCCAGGTGGATGTACTCAACGTGCACATGGTTGCTCCCAAAGCTTGTAAGCCATATAAACTAGAGAAGAAGACATGTTCCAGTGTGCTGTATCAAAATAAAAAAAACCTGATTGTCTGATAGTGCAAGAGATTTTTATACAAATATGTAGAGCATTGGTGCTTGACAGTTACTGCTTCACATTGTGGTTTAGGTTCTTTACAGGTTGACACTGCACTTAAGTAACGTCGCACACCAGATGCTAAAAAAATAGAGCTTCCTGTGTGTCTTGGATTTCCACTGAAGTCCTTGTTGGCTGTGTTCATTGTCTGGGAATGTATAGACTATTTGGGAAGTTTGAGAAGACAAAGAAGATAGTGGAAACATAGAGAAGACCAAAGAATGCTTAGTTGTAAAGAGAAGTTTAAATGCTCTTGGGGTTATAATGATCACATGTAGTAACATCATCTAAAAACAAAAGGAGAACTCAAAATACTGTTAATTCTGTATGGTACAACGTGTCTGCTGAGACGGCATCAGTACAGAGATAAAGGGGTAGTTCAGTTCATTGGAGGCTGCTCGTTAATAGCACTTTACCTGTGTTTTCAGTTGTCTGCATAAGGTAAATCTGTGTGTCTTAGTGAAGTTGTGGAAAAGATACACTCAGAGGCAAAAAAACCCCCAAACCTGCACATTCAGAGTATGTGAACAGTATGCTCCTTAAAATAGTGTATAAATGAGTATGTTTGAGTATCTTCCAAATGCAGACTATTGAAAGGTTTGTGTTAATGCCTGGGGAGAAGCAGGCTGTGATTTCACATTGATATTTGTGAGTCTAGAATTGTTCCTTCATATTGGATCATGTTTAACTACTGCAGCTATATCAGTTGAACCCCAAGAGTAATCTTGTGGCTTCTTGGGGATTTATGCTGCTAGTTGGTGTAAAGGAGCTAGCAGTGTACTGCTGTTAGTTCTATCTATCCGAGCCTCTTATTACTGTGGGAGATAACATGCAAGTCTGAGGTAAACTGTAAGCATAATAAATATGTGTTTCCTCCCCCTTTGTTCCTGCTACATCAGTTACTTACCAAATTGTGCTTATGTAAGTTTAGTGGTGTTAGCCAAGTGTGGGAAGATCTAAATGGCAACAGCTTGGCCAAGAATGAGACACGTTTTCTGAGTGAAAATAACTCTAGGTATAGTAAAAGTTCATTTAAAAATGTTAATTATTAACAACCTTGATTAATGAATGATGAGTAAGCTTGAGAGTCTTACAATAGGATGTGTAGAACACTAAACCTAGTCAGCTTACTGGCTATAAGTAAGTTGCATTTTTTTTGTCTTTTAAAGGAAATTCGACATAAATCCAGTGACTACCCTCATAAAGTTGCAAAATACCCAGAAAACAGAAATCGAAACAGATACAGAGATGTTAGTCCATGTGAGTATCTTTTTTGTAATTATTGCAGTAACCTTTCTAGACTTTTTGCTTATCCAGTTTACTTTTAAATACTGTAGCTAATAAATCATGGTCGTTGTAGGTTTTGTATTTTGTTTATTTCTGTAGCCATGTATCCTGTGATGAATGTGGGTTTTTGTAACACAGACACAAATGTGTAGAACAGAAGGGAGAAAAGTTGGTGAGTTAAACTCATTGTGCTGAATGGTGAACAAGAGATGATTGCAAATTATAGTTATTAGTATATAGGTAAATGTTTGTGAGCTGCAAAATAATACTTTTAAAATATTTTTCTCACAAGGAAATTACTTGTTTAGTACTGCTTTATCTGTCATTATAAAAGTCAACATCTCAGCACAGAAATTAAGTTAATAAGCCTGGACTAAGACAAACAGTTTCCTTTTGGGCGAAGTGAATCTGCACATTTATAAGATTGTGTGGATAAATGCCACTTGATTTCTACTGTTGCTCTAAAAAATACTTTATAAAAATAGATTTTTAAAATTTTTGTCTGTTTGGAAGAATGTACACATGAAGTTGTTCTTTAATACTCTTAATGCAAGTAGATATGGTACGGAGTGCTTTGTATTTTACTAACTGCCATAAAATGATCTTTATGACATAACGATCTTACATCTCGGGTGAAGACAGCTTTATTTTTTTTTTTTTATTTTTTACCAGCTTCTTTGCTACTGGAGTGTTGTGTTTTTTTCTAACAGCATTTATTTTAGAAACTGTAATCCAAAATTGCTGTAAAAAGACATGTGAGCAAAAGATTACTAATATGTAGTTATAACTGGAGAAAGCTATCATAAATCCCTTTCAAAAGGAGTAGGAAAAAATTTAGTACAGCTTTCATTTTTCTACAAAATAGTGAAGTTGAAACAGGTTAAATGTTTGTGCACTTTAGTACAATGTTCCCCAGAGCACCAAAGGCTCATAAAAGCCACCTTGTTACTGGATCTAGAATTTTTGAAGTGTTGCTGGTGTATTGGGGCTTTTTGTTTGCGAATCTAATCTGAATACCTATTGTAAGATTTGGAGAAGTGCTGAACTCCTTGTTTCCAGTTGAAAGTTGTGGTAACAGCATGTGCATAGCACTTCTCAAAATTACACGGAAAGGGTCTCGGGTTGAGTCATGCTGGTCAGATGCAGCGTTCATTAGACTGCTGCCAGAACGCTAACTTGCACAGTGTATTCTCACCAGATGGATCCAGTCTGGCTTAATGCTAAATCTCAATACCGCACTCTGATGAAGCTGAATTTACGAGTTCAGCACACAGCCTCTTTGCTGTATCTGCATGGCATTCCCTAGTATGGGCTATTTGAGAAATGTACAGCTCTGAAGAAGATGTCTAAAGTTAGTCAAGGTGTACTAAATTCCGCTGTGTGCTCAGCAAGGAGAGATAGGCCTCTGCTGGACTTTTGTTGATCTATTAAGAGGGACTTACGTGTCCCAGGTCTGCTGTCCTGTTACAGCGCAGCATTGACATCTTACCTGTGGTAAAGTAGATCACGTTTTATTCGCTTTCTAGTTCATATCTAAATTGGGATGAGGAAGGCAGGAAATTGGATTTGAACCCATGAGACCCAAGTTCTATTCATGGGTCCAATATCCCATGCAACTTCTGTGGCAGAAGTTGTATTCATGCATTTATCATTTCTCCCATCCATGGATTTAATTTCTTAGGCACTACTGCAAAGAGAATGGCAGCTTACCTTTAACACATTTGTGTGTTTTCTTTCTTTTTAAAAAGAGTGTTTCTAAAATAAATAAAAAGACATTCTGCTATTTAAGTAGCATCTAATAATGCCTGCAATAATATCTTAGAGGTAGGACTTGTTATTCATCTCTTGTAGTTTTTTGGAGCTCAAAATTTTCCTTCATCATGGCATGCCTTTTACAATAGTGAAGAGTACCAAACACCTCTGCCCTGGCCACAGCAAAACTTGTTTCTGAAATGCTCGTCTAGCCAGGAGGAGATGAATTATGTGATTGTATTAGTCACTGGACCATGTGCAAGAGTCAAGAGAGACAGTTAGATAAAATCTAGTCTTGAAGTAGTAGTTGGGCTCAGGAAGGGCTTAGAGACGTTACATGCTAGTTGACGTGAGTTATAACATGATGACTGAACTAAGGTGATGAAGCATGTCTCAGTTTTTAGCATTTATGAAAGAAAGGTGGTTTGCATCGGGCCACCAAGATAGCCTGCAGAACTGGGCACTAGAAGCAAGGCTGTATGAGGAGAACAGAACAAAACATTGTGTTTGAACTAATTGCTGTTGAATTTTACATCTATGTGTTTTCAAATATGACTCATAATTGTTTCTGTAATGATGATGAGAGTTGGGAGGAGAAAGAGACCTGGAAGGGAGTATATGATAAATAGCATTCCAAGATAGCAGTAGCTAAATTTCAAAGCCGCTGGGGTAATAGCTGTGTGGTTTGGTCGCTGTGGTGAACACATCTAATCATGGCGCATGTATGCAAGGAACTGGCATTGCAGAAATGCAAGATGACTCAGTCTTACACAATCTTAACATCTTGGTCCTTCACTTTGCAAATTTCACTGCTCTTTAACTGTGTTTAAATGAAAAATGGGTGATAATACTGATGTTTTCTGATAAAGGCCTTCAGAACTAGCAGTTAAACTCTTAAGATCTAGCTACTTAAACATATTGGAAGACATAAGATGTAATTTGATGAAAATGTTTTATTTCTCCATAGCAGTAAGAAAACGGTTTGTTGGTCTAGATAGCAGCCAAGCTAGTCTAAAATCTGAGGTGGTATGTCTGCAAGAGGAAATGCAAAGATTATTCTGTCTTACGGAAAAGATGTCAATGACAACTGCAGGAAGAAATGCTTTGGGTTGGTTTGCCCCATTTCAACCCTAATATGCAGGACACACACTGAAACAAATTTGTGTTCGTTACGTATATTTCTAGGTAGAAGTGTTAGCTGGGAAAGGCTAATCATCTTTGCCCATTACAGCTGAGTTTCACATTATCTCCAGTTTCATAAATATTTTTCTTAGTGTCCAGTTTTGTTGGCTAAAGAGCTATGGTGTGTATAAGTTTGGTTGGGTAAAAGCCCTCAAGAGTTGCTGCCTAGCCAAAAAAAATAGCAGCGTAGCAGTTTGGTATTAGTCTAGAATAGTGACAGGAATATTTTGGCTATGTAGTAGTATTGAAACAGGAAGTTAATCTGAAATAGGTTTGGTTTGACAGCCAGTCATTTCCTGACAGATGAAACCATTTCTCAGAAAACATTGTTAAGAAGAAACTAACTTGCGAGGTTATTATTCTTTATTGATAACTTCAATGAAACTCTAAGATTTCTGTTACTGCTTTCCTTTTAAATCTTATCCTTGGTGATATCAGAGGAGTCTAGGGTCTCAGATTGACTGTAAACACCTTAAGAGATCTGCTTACTGTGTTCCCAGATTTAGAAGCAAGAAGGAAATCCCCTCAGCAAAATTGGCAGGATTTTTTTTTTCTTTTGCTTTTGGAGGGTAGATGGGGGTTTACATAGGTTTATCTTTAGCCTTCCTTTTAATGTGTGTAGCCCAATTTCTTAGGTCACCTGAACATTTTTGCCTGATATCCTTTTGCTGTTGGAGGGTCTTGAAGTAGTGATTTCTCTTGTTTTCCTGTGACCATTAGCAGACTGTTGGACCTTTCAACTATTGGCTTATGGTTGTAATAGACTATATACCAGGGAGAGAGGAATGCGAAGAGTATTGTGCTTTACAGGGAACAGAGTTGGAGCTGATGTGGATGGTTTTGCACGTAGTACTGATTAGTTATCATTGCAAAAATGTTCCCTTTCTGTCCTGTGTTTCAAGTGTACGTGCTGAGAACAGGGAGAAGATCTGTCCAAAATAAACTTGCTGCACTTTTTGTTGTCTGTATTGGAAGCTGACATTGATGATTTTTATGACGTTATCTAATGATTCTCTAAAACATCTTGTTACCAGAAACATGGTATAAATAAACTGCTTTAGGAGACACTTCTTTCTTTGAGATTGGGGGAAATTTTATAGCACATACTGATCTCAACTTTATTGTATCTGAAGTTTTTTTCACAGTCCTGCTTAAAAGTGTAAGGAACCTGTGCAGTAGTTATGCATATATTTCAGTGTGAATACATTTCAGTTATGAGCTAGGCCATGATTGATATGATGGCATTCATTGTGTACAGCCGGGGACAGGATGGGGAAAAGTAACTTTGCCTTTCCTTTGCCTTAGGCTACCTCTGAAACTTGAGACTGTAAGTCTAGTGACAGAGTATTGTAATTTGAATAATTTAGCAGCTCAGATAGACTAGATTTAGATGAATGAAATGAAGGGAATTTGCTGGTAGGTGGGACAAGGTCAGACTGGGTCACTGGGATGCCTTATTGCTACGTGCTATATTTATTACTTTTTTTTTTTAATTCACTCAGTAGCATTTTGCTTTGTTGTTAATAGCTCTATATTTGTGGAGCCAGAGACATGTCTTGGATAAAAGATAATTTTTAAATTATACTGTGGTTTCATGTCTAGAAACACAGTTGTTTTCAAATAAAAACCTCTCATTAACCAACTGCAAGAACTGTATGATGTAAAAGGTCAAACATTTTGTATCTCAGTTTTAACTGGATATGTCATTTTCTTTTTAGCAGGGAGTGGGCAAATTGATGTGCAGTCAAGTCTTGGCCTTATTTGAGACATGGGGAGTGTTGTCAGTGATATCAGTGGGACAGGGTTTCACTTGAAGTAGGTAATAAGAGTTTGCTTATCTCAGACTGGGTGGCTCTGACAGGAGTTTTCTTCATGTAGGAGCCAGAATGAGAAGCATTTTTCAGGTTTCCACTTCCTTTTTGGGCTGCATAGTTTGTTGAAATAGGGGAATTAGCACTTCAGAAAATGAGTACTATATTTTAGCTGTTGTGGGCATGGCAACATTTAAGGTAAATCTTTAAGATAAGATTTCAGATAGGTTTATCATTCATATAAATCTAAAGTACTTTGTAACTGGAAATAATTTACATATGGGAAATATGTTACAGTTAACTCACAGTCAAAAGTTGGCTTGCTCCATTTAATTCAGAAGAGCAAGCCAAGGCTTGAACGAGGTTTCTAGGTCATTGTGTCCTTTAGGAATCTTTTCCCTTGAAAGAAGGGAAATCAATATATTCTAGTGGCTTCCTTTGTCCTGTGGGGTGTATGCCAGCATATTTGTAGGATCGCCTCTGTTTTAGCTGAGGAGGAGGATGGAGGCTGTCTGTGCATAGAATTCGTTGTTGAAGGGGCTTTTAAAAAAACTTTCAGAATTTTGTCTGTCATATAAGTTATGCTTTGTAAATAAGAAGGAAAAAATAAACCTGGAAATGTGTATAAAGATTACAGTAGGAAACCTCGTTAGGGCCTTGGCAGTTATCTCCTACTGGCAGCAATACAGCAGCTGCTGCTGGGTGATTAAACTGTTAACAGTGCTTGCTTACGTCATCTTTCCGAGAACACTAGTACCGGTATGTGTGATTTACTATAACAAGATCTTAAGTTTTTCCTGTTGGCAAATGACATGTAATATTTACAAAGGTCTTGGTTTCTCTCCAGTAGAAACATTTCAGATAAAGTGATACGTGAAAGGGAAAAGTAACACTTTCCTATCCAGACAAAATAATATAAGGAGATATATTTTACTTTTAAATGCACGTGTCTTAATTTTAATGTGTCCTGGCTTTGATAATACTCTTGTCTTCATAGAGATGTATCATAAATTGTTTTAAGACTCCTGAAAGTCAAGATGGTGTTGCCTTACAGCTGGAATGCTAATGAAAACAGACTAAACCAGTAACTTTCTCATACTTTTGTATTAAAAATAATATTTCTGTTCTTTGCACGTTTGTATGTGACTGTATATAAAAGCTAGCAGCTAAAGGAGGTAGGATGACAACCCCAAATCTCAGTCCTTAAAAAAAAAAAAAAATAAATCAAAACCCGAGTAATTTAATTTAGTGTTGATTTCTTTCTTTGAATCCAGCATGATCCTCTTTGACAGCTGCCAGATCAAGACCCAGACATGTACTTTTCCAAGGTTTCCAGGCATATGGAAAGTATTTATAAAATCATATGAGCAGTCCATAGAACAAGAGTCTAATTCAGTAACTGTTTTTTGATTCCCATCAGCTTTTTGCCTCTCTGGGGTTATATTCATGGATTTCTTAGATAAGCCTTGTGCCATTTAGACTGACTGTGATACAGGTGCTTAATCTGAGTTTAGGTATCTTAGCTGCACTGAATGAGATACTTGATAGTTGCTTATATCAAAACTTGTGAATTTTGTGCGTTTCCCTAGATGTTTGGCAAAAGGAGATTAACCTTTTGGTGCGAGGATAGGAGAGGGAAAAGTGGGCTGACTTTTTAACAGCAGTATGCCATCAGTCCACACCCTGAATGAGTTTTGTGGGTTAGATCAGGTGAATGTAGGTTAAAAACTGGCATTGCACTGTAATTCACTCTCAGCTCTCTCAGTTTCTTCATGGAATCTCTTCCATCTCTTCCTGAGATGTGTTGAAGTCTCTTAAATTCATTTTTGCTATTTTTTATTTACTCTTCTCATAAACAGTCTGTCTAGGCAGTTGAGCTTCAAGGGGTTTGCAGTCAGTTGGATCTCTTCCTGGCATGCAGTTGGGTACAAATTTTAAAATAAAAAATGCTATTTGTTTAATACAATTCTAATAAATGGCTGAAGGATTACTTACTGTGAACAAATCTGATTACCTAAATGTCTCCTAGAGGATGATAAATCAGATACTAAAAGGTTCTAGGAACAACCACAGTGACTTTTTATTATGCAGTGTTTTAGTATGACAGTCTGATAATCTTTCTCATATTAATGTTAGAATTTTAAATGGGGTCCTTTGCTTGCCTCTGACATAAATAGGAGAATCTTCCATCTTGCCTGTGTAATCATGAGAGGCTGAAACTGTGTAATTAGATTAGGTTTTGTTTATTTGGAAGATTTATAAACTGGTATGTTTTTGCATGTGCCCCTTCTTTAGTATTTCTTTAATCTCTAAAGTATTAAAGAATAAATTACAGGGAAAATTAAATTTATCGAAGCTTGCAAGTAGATTTATTTGTTTGTTATGTGGTTTTTTTTAGCTGTGTGAGTTTAGCTTGATGATTCTACCTCAGCCTATGAAACTTCAGTTCACCAAAAGTCTTGGGATTCTGAACTTAAAGTAAACCATGCAGTGGAGTGATCTGGTGTGATAGGAGAGAGTGCTTGCCTGGTGCATAAAGGAGGTGCAATTGTTGAGGGATTTTTGGCATGTGAGGGAGGGTTGTTTTGTTTGGTTGTTTTTTTAAAGAAAACGGAGTATTCCAGTTCTCTGAGCAGCTTCTATCAATAGCTGCCTGAAATTACTGTGGTGGAATACTGAGGGGAGAATGAGACAGGTAGTTATCAAAGCTACATGAGAAATTAGTTTCACGTATAGTTGTAGTTTGCCATTTGGTTAGTACTGCAGAATTTATTTCTAACTGCTTGTCAGACCTAAACTTGCCTTTTAGAGAGTATTCATCAAGATGGATGCATCATTAATTCTTTATTTTCTTTGAATTTTAGACGATCATAGTCGTGTAAAACTGCAGAACACTGAGAATGACTATATCAACGCCAGCCTAGTGGTCATAGAAGAAGCCCAGAGATACTATATTTTAACACAGGTAAACAGTACCAATTACTAGGTGGTTATAGGGTTTGAGAACCTGGTGGAGAGGGATTTGTACAGTCATCATTTGTATTTTGATGGTTCCTTGTCTCTGTGAGTTATATCATACTAACTGCCTGTTTGATCTAGTTGTGAGCATGTTATTTTATATTTTAAGAAAAAGCTAAAGGGAATATTTAAGTATGAATAGATGAGTGCATATAAAGCTTTTCAAATAGTTTTTGCTCTTCAGTTCTTTTCGAAATAGGTTGCAACAGTACTTTTAACCTTTATTTCATCTTGTACCTTCAGACCATGCTTGCAGTAGCTTTTCTTCTAACAACACAGTAGTATTGATGCCCAAACTGAAATATCTCTTCCCTGAGATGCTACTGGTTTGTTGTTTGTTTTGGTTTTTTTAAACAAAACTTCTAAGTACTGGAATGATCTGTGCAGTGTGGTTACTTTCTTGCCTGTCATTTCTATCATTCCTTTAATAATTTGTTTAAACTTTTCAGAGGAAGACTTTTTCCTGTTTTGCACAGTGAACTATTAACTGTATTCAAACGCTGCTTTGCCTATGCATTCTCCCACTCATTTTTTTTTTTTTCTTTACTACACAGGGTCCACTACCTAATACATGTTGTCATTTTTGGCTAATGGTATGGCAACAACAAACAAAAGCAGTTGTCATGCTGAACAGAATTGTTGAAAAAGAATCGGTAAGTAATATTAAGCCTAAAGTTGTAAAGTGAGCCACATATATATTTAATACAGTTGAACAATGTTTGATTGGTACGTTAAAAGATGTAACAGACTTTCTCACTGGTGTAGAGCATAACGTGTATTTAATATAACATTAGAGTGATGAAGCTAAGACACAAAATTCAGTTTGGTGAAAACTGCGTCTAATAAACACACATCCAGAAAGGTGAAAGTAACATCCTGAGAAAGGAGAATGTACAGATAGAAATAAGATGGAGTAGAAGCAGTGTGAGATGTTCTAGAAGAGAATGGAAAGTGGGAAAAGAGGTTAGACATACAGTATCTTTAGGTTATTTCTTCTAAATACAAGAGTAGTATATTTGTTATATAGTGATCATACCTGTTTGTAACAATGAAGACAAGCTGCTTCCCAGCAACTATCAAACTGGTCTAGTTATTTTTGATTCTTTACAGCTGGTGGTGTACGTGCAGGATACACACATCTTCTGTTATCACGTAATTTTTCTGCTAATGTGCCTAAAACCACTGTGGATTTTAGTTATAAATGCATGTCATTTGAGACTTAGAGTTTTTCTTCAGAGTAGACTTCTTAGTGAAAAAGATTTGACTAATCCATTAAAAAGTCACTTATTTTCTTAAGCAAAAATTTTCCTACCGAAAGTTTGAGTGCAGGGCAAGAGGAATAAAAGACAAAGGACAGTTTCGCATTGCTTAGTTCATTCTTTTGTTTCACTAGAATCTTTCAGTGTTCAGCAAGCCTTGGGAAAACTGGATGTGTTACATTAGTTATGTAAATGTGTAGGTGTGCACGGCAGAAATGGAGGGGGGGAATGTTGTTGAAATAGCTGAGTAAAGATCTCTGCTCATTGTAGAGAACTAGAGGGGGAAGAGGGAGAAGGGTTAAGGTATATCTCAAAACATGCTAGCCTGGTGATGAAAGAAAGCCGAAACAGATAAAGCTGCAATGCATAATAACTATTGAAACAGTTGTAGTAACTTGGCTATAAACATTATGGACTTTGAGAATTCCTCAAACTGGGAGCAGGTACTTGAGTCTACTATATTGAATAACAGGGTCTCAGAATCTGCTCATGCAAAGCTCAGGATACTAGGATACATAACCAGACTTTTTTTCCTCTCTCTCTCTCTTTTTTTTTTTTTTTTAAATACATTAGGTGAAGTGTGCACAATACTGGCCAACAAAAGAAGAGGAAGTTATGACATTCAATGAAACAGGTTTCCGTGTGAGGCTAGTATCTGAAGACTTCAAATCCTATTACACAGTACATCTACTGCAATTAGAAAATATCAACGTAAGCTTTTCTCAGTCTATAGCTCATATTCCTGGGCTTAAATATATCATGAAAACCATTTAGCATATTGTCACTACAGGTTTGATTGAGCTTTTACACTGGAAATTTTAGTGCACTTTGTTTCTGATAATGTTGAAGATGTATGTGTGGCATATGAGCAAGTTAGACCTGTATTAATCTATACATTAAAAGAGGTAACAGCTTCAGCATTTTTATACTTACATTTTCCATTTGGCAGTACCTTAACATGCTGAATTATAATTGATGGTAGTGGTGATTTGAAGAGGAGCTGTAAGAAATACCTTAAAAGGAGGAACCTAGGAGTTGAAAATTCTGATTTCTTCTGAATATCAGAAATCAGACACAGTAATTACTGGGGTGATTTTTTTTTTTTTTTTTTAAATGGAACTTTAGTTTTCCATATAATTCAGTCCAGCTATCGAAGTTTTTGGGGGGAGGGGTGATTACCACCTGTAGATAGGTAACTTTATCTCCTCTTGCTTACCTCCCCTTTTGCTCCACAGGACCAACCATCCTTTTCTCTTAAAAATTAAGCACTTTGACAATTTAATCAAGTTAAGCTCAAAAAAGTTGTTCCTGGCCTGAGCTTGGGTTGGAATTTGCTGCTTCTGTTTCAGAGCTGAAGACAGGATTGAAGAGCTTGTCTGTTTGTTCCAGCTATGTCTTGTAAGATATTCTCTCTCCCTATAAACCTTGCCTTATATTAATTGAAAGTGCTGGTATGGCAAGTTTTATTCAAGGTTGTCTTGTCACTGGATTTGGGAAAGGAAAGCCTGAAGGTGTTCCTTTGCATGTTGTTTTACACAACTAAACATTGATATGTTTGGTCAAAATTATTTGTATTTATAGTAACTATTAATGGTACTTTGAGATAATGTTTGTTAATTCAAAACCTCCCTCATGAGATCAACATGATAAAACTTGGCATGTTGTTCCTTGGTCTGTTCAGTGTAAGAGCAGCTTTATGAAATTCTGTCCTACTGACCTGAAGAACTTCTGTTTAGTTGTTTGTTTATTGACAGCAAAGGCAAAGAAAAGAGGAGTGATGCTTGAAGGGTAGTGCCTAAGAGAGAATAACTCTCCTTTGTGGAAAGCTGAGGCAAGTTTTCTGAACTAATGAAAAGGCTTCTTTGTGGAATTGTCTGGCCCCTAATCTTAAACTTCCTATTTTCAGAGGATGCTATTTTCATGATACGTGTCTGGACATAACATTAGCTGGAAAATGCAGAAATCCCTTGAGGAACAGCACAACGTATGCTGTAGCAGACTTTGGAGTTGGAGCTATTGAGCTCTTCAATTTCTGGGTTTGCTTTGGACTGGTAATGCAGGCCCATCAGTGCTGTACAGTTTCTTGTATGTCATGTAACTAAGTTTCACAAACACATAGCAAACTTACTATATTGATTTTTTATTTTAATGCCCTAGAACTCCTGTAAGGCTCCACAAATATTAACTCCAAAGAATATTTTTTTATGTAAGCCAGCTACAAAAAGTAGAACATACTTGGTTACGCAAACAGAAAAACTACATAGTTTCCAGAATAACAGTGCAAATGTTAAGTGCAGCCTTCTGTAAGAATATAGTAATTTACCATAAAACTTGTGGGAACTGAGTATTCACAGTAACTTGAAATGTGAGCTTAACTATGTTTATACAAATTATTCTGGAGGGGACTTTGGTGGAGGCAAAGTAGTAAGACATTTAGCCACTTGACGCCTGGAATATAAGATGACTCATAAACAAAATACACTCTGAATTCCAAGAATGCTTAAGAAATTTTAGTTTTTCCTTGAAAACAGAGAACTAGAATTGTCTTTTTGATACAATCATTCTGAACTCAAGTAAAGTTGTGTTACTGCAACAAATCTCTAGTACGTAAGCAAAATACCTATGTATGAGGAGTAAAGTGCTTGTTTGATGTTCTTACCAATGAAACAACCTCTGAATATTGGCTTGGTTTTGTTGGTGGTGTTTTTGTTTTGTTAAAGAGCAGTTAGAAGTACAGGTGGGGTTTGTGGGGGGACAATGTTTGTTTTTTAGGGTTAGATCAAGGCACTTGGCAGTTTGATTTGTTTATATCTGTTCTGGGCAAACATTCATTTTTGCTGTTGCAGCTAGTGTAGTCCAATAAAGCTTTGGAGAGGAGATAGTGTTTATTGGTATCTTTCCAAAAGTTTTGAAAATATTTCTAATGTGCTTTGTCTTGCTGGTCATTATTACAGAATTTCCTTATTTGTTGCGTGACCGAGTGTCCGTTTTAGAATATAGAAATTTAAAGCTGCTTTTCCAGCATGGTTCACTGTGTATCCTCCATTGTTTTGTTGGTGTTAATTGCCAGCTGTTCTGAAAGTTGACTGCTACTTCTGTTGTAATTGCTCAGGTTCAGAACTTTCCTTGAGGAAAGATGGACTGTGAAGGCTTCCACAAACCCTTACCTCTGTTAGAAAATAAGGGTAGAAGGAAAATACTGTGCTGATGTTAAAGATTCATAATTGTTTATGTGTGAAGCTATCGCATGTCTGTGATTTGAAGCAAAATCTCCCAGTACACTGGAGAAGTGATAGGTGTTTATGAGAGCCTTTTGTTAAATCTGTAAAATAATCCTATTGGATGGGCTTGCTAAGTTTCGTGACAATATTTTTATATTAATCTGCATTGCTGCTTTTAGCTTTCCTTGTCACAAGTATGAATACTGGTCTTCAGAGAAAGAAAACTTGTGTTTTCAGTAATTTTTCATGTGGCACCCCAGATAATGAATGCTAATAAGCAAAACCCCACTAGGTTGGTACTGGGGAATTCAGGGGGAAGCTATGAGAGGGCAAATGAGCATCAGTACTTGAGGGAAAACAGGGACTGACTAGGTGAGGAAATGGAGCAGTGGAAAGGAATTGAAATGCTGGAGGAACCTTGATGAACTTACCTCAGACTGGGTTCCTAGAAGTAAAGACTAAAGCAGTCAAAGGAGAGGTTTGCGAAGAAGATACTTGCTGGGGGAGAAACAACTGGAAGAAGTGAACTAGATTTGGTGTGACACTGGTGGTATGATACTTTAGAGTAAGGTCCATTAATAAATCCCAAGTGGAATCTTGTGTCATCTACAAGTAGAAAATATTTGGAAAAAACTCATTAGCAAACTTAGCTAATGAGGTTTCTCAACTTAGCACCATGCATCTGTGTGGCCATTGCTGTCAGATTAAGGTGATGCAAGACTGCTTAGTGGCCCTCACTGTCTGATCCTGTGGATGAACTAGAAAGTGTCAGTGTAGTTCAAGAAGGTAAGATTGGCTTTGCTGCTAGTTTCCAGTGTCCAAAATTTTAAATGTACTGAGAAGATGTTTTGATTGTGGAGGCAAGCAATCTAATGGCAGGCAATGTTCTGGGATCTTGTGGTATCTTTGTATACAAATGTGTATATGTATGTAATTCCTATACTGTTTTGAAGGGATTTCTGAAACATGGCATACACTTGCTTTTAAACTTGTGGGACATTGTCATCGTTTAACCCCAGTCGGCAACTAAGCAGCACACAGCTGTTTGCTCAGTCCCCCCCTGGTGGGATGAGGGAGAGAATCGGAAGACTAAAGTGAGAAAACTTGTGGGTTGAGATAAAGACAGGTTAATAGGTAAAGCAAAAGCTGTGCACGCAAGCAAGGCAAACCAAGAAATTCCTTCACCACTTCCCATGGGCAGGCAGGTGTGCAGCCATCTCCAGGAAAGCAGGGCTCCGTCACTCTTAACAGTTACTTGGGAAGACAAATGTCATCGCTCCGAACATCCCCCTCTCTCTTCTTCTTCCTCCCCATTGTTACACACTGAGCATGACGTCATATGGTATGGAAATCCCTTTGGTCAGTCGGGGTCACCTGTCCTGGCTGTGTCCCCTCCCAACTCCTTGTGCACCCCCAGCCTCCTCGCTGGTGGGGTGGTGTGAGAAGCAGCAAAGGCCTTGGCTCTGTGTCAGCACTGCTCAGGGATAACCAAAACATCCCTGTTATGAACACTGTTTTCAGCACCAATCCAAAACATAGCCCCATACTAGCTACTCTGAAGAAAATTAACTCTATCCCAGCCAAAACCAGCACAGACATCCTCATATTGCTTTGACAAACTGCAAGAGGGATTAATTTTGGCCTTCGTGACCACAGAAGTAAGACTGAGGTGTTAGGAAAGGTATCGATGTCTAACAGGAAAGGAGAAACCAGACTCAGGTGAATGTAAATTGTTTTGCAGATTCAGTGGGCACGGCTATTGCCATGTTCACTTACAGGATATGGCCTAGTTACTAAAATGACCAGAATGTTTGTGCGAATTATTTGGCCCTATTATCCTCATTGCCATTTTTATGTACATTTTGAAAACCATTTTGCCAAGCATTAGAACGAAGAAATAGAAGAGGTTGTGGTAAAAGTTAAGATTTTGAATTTCAGTGCTTAGATTATTGCCCTTTCAGTGTCCCTTCTTATTTTTATATGATGAAATGAGTTGTTAATGCACTTAAGGCATGATCATTAAATACAGGACCACTATTGGGTTGTAGGTGTATTTTACACCTTCATATGTTAGACCATATCAGTAGCCCTTAAACTATGAAATGAAGGCTTTTATAAGAGTGTATGAAATTTGACAGACTGGCATTTTTCTGTCTTCACCCATTTCACTTGACACTGAAGGCATCAAATTCCTTTGAGCATTTTGGTAGTATTTTGTTCATGTTCATACTCTCAGGTGACTGAACAACCTAAAGCCGTACTAAGATTTTTGTACCCTTTTGTTTTGAGTGATTGGATAGTCACTGTAAAAAGGTTATGACAGGGCTTGTTTTGTGAAAGTTAGTTTAATGGCATTATATTATTTTTCTGCTCAAGTCGTCATGTGGATGTCTGCTTGTAACCTGGAGTGTGGCTTGTGGTTTGATCATCCTTTGATTATGCTGTTAGTGTTGCCAGCAGTCCGTGGAGAACTGTGCAGTGTGGTGGTAACTTTTTGAGTTTATCAGTTTTAGCTATGTTGGTTATTTACTGAAAGCTTATCCCAGTAGTTCGTGAAACCTTCACTAGAATGATTTGACTAATTTTCTTGAAAAGTTGTTTGTTTAAAAACTGTCCTATTATTATTCAAGGCATTTTACTTTTTTTTTTGGTAGCTAGTCTTAGGGAATAACTCTTGGAAAAATATGTTGTGGTTACCATAGAATAAGCTGGTTTTCAGTTACCATGTAGAAATATGTTTCCTGTGTATAACATATATAAAATTCTATATTACTGCCTGAGTCTTGAAGTCCAACTTTTCTTTAAAAAAAAATAAATTTAGTTTCCTGATAACACTTGAAATAAATTAGTTGTTCTTTAAAACTGAATTTCTGTCCATCGACAGTTGTGAACGTTTAGCAAGCCAAACCTTTTCTCGTTATAGTCCTGCATCACTTCACATAAGTGATAGTTGTGGTGCATGGCCCAATGACAGGGTGAGCTCTCTGAGAGAGTGGTACAGATCTTCACACAAAAACAGTATTTCAGCTGTACAGCTTGACTGCCAAGCACCACTTGAAAGAGCCATTCTGTCTAAGAGAGAAAATGTGGAGGGTTTGAAATACTCAAATGGGATTTGGCTGTATGATTAGAAACTGCAAGCTCAAAGACGACCAGCTAGTTCTAGTGCTCTGAAATGGGACTTGAAAAGAAAGATGAAGAGACACGGTATTTTTAAAATGAGCTGAAGTGATGGAAAATTGTGGGATGGATAAAGCCTTCGTACAGTGTGGGGAGGAAGAAAAAAGTAATTCTGTGGGTTAGAGCTGCATGAGATGTGGAACAGCACTGCTTAATCTCTCCTTCAGAAATACCTATTTTCAGATTAGTGTATGAGCAGAGTGACACCTGGCCATGCGCTTGAAGCACTACTGTTCTTGTTTTAGGAAGAGGATGCTAGTGCTTGTTACAGTATGGGATTAAAAAAAAACAACCCATACAGATCACCTTTGCTTTATATAGATAATTCTTGAGGTATAAGGGAGGCTTTCATCTGGAATGCTGTTTAAGAATCTTGAAGGGGAGAGAATCAGTTACCACTTCAGAGGATCATCTAGATTCACAAGAAACAACTTTAACCTTTGCTTTACCTGGCATGTGCATTTAGCTCGTCTCTCCAGTTTTCCTCTTAATTTTGTTTGTGTATTGAAGAGTTCCTTTCTTAGAAATAGAGGAAATTGCTTAATACAATTGGGGCCTTGGTAGCTTCCCGCCCTCTCCCCCCCGCTCCTTTTGAAATCTTTGTGTATACTCATTTTTCCAGTATGATGGATCAGAGTGTTGTTCGTGTTGAGCTCTTAGCCAAAAGACAAAATATTCCTGGAATATGACTGTGCATTTGAGAGTGACTTGAATCATGTTAATATCCACTGTGAAAGTATTGGCAGTCTTGCCGTATCAGGCGTTGAAGGCAAAACACAAAATGATGGAGTATTTTTTTGTTACTGTGGTAACCATCAACTGGATTATTTTTAGTTTCACAAAGGTGTTTCATAAGTTGTCCTGCTTAAGAAGTTGAAACAGACTGAGCAGGAGATGCATAATAGGATTTATTTGAATTTCATAGCTATATTTTACTGTTGCTGAAAAAGAAAAATAGCTTTTCTGGAATACATTGATATTTTAACTATTCTTGTGTTCCAACTTTGTGAAGATTTTTGTAGGTTTCAATCTATGTGGAAAATAAGATGAAATGGAGGGAGGATAAAAATAACTGAACCTTTCTAAAATTCTTGAGCTAAATCAAGGATCAAGTTTGTCTCAAAATCACTGTAGTAGGACAAGGGAGGAAAGGAGTAGCCTTTAACAGGAGGTCTGAAGTGAGTTCATAAAGATATGAGCCACACTTGTCATCAAAGCTTTGCAGTTACATTCATAGTCTCTTGCTGTCATTTCAATACTTGCAGTTAGTTGGTCATGTGAGGAGAGAAGCTGCATGATTCTAAAACAACCACATGGTTTTGGAATCCTTCTTTCTTACTTACAAAGAATGAATCCATCCAGCAGAAATCTTGCTTACAGATACCCTGCTGTATGGGTTCTTACAGGTCTTTTCCATAAAGCTTCCTGCTCCTCCGAGTAGTGCGGTTAGTATAAAGGAGATGCTAATACCTCTTGATATTAAAACTTGCTCTGAGCAAGAGTGGAAAGTGTTTACAATGCTGATGGGTATTTTTTTCAGTTGTATTAATGCTAGCAGTCTAATAACTACTGTCAGCCATTAAGTTGCATTAATGGTAGAAAAAGAATATATTTGGGGGCAAGTAGTAAAGCAAACCAAATACAATATTGGAAGTTTGAGGGGAAGAAAAAAATGCATATGGTAGTAATTGCAAAGGGGGAAACTACCAACTTGGATGAAACACTGCTTCACGTTGCACTGTTGATTGTCATCCAACTTGAAGCAAACTGGATTGTTTGTCTAAATGGGAAGTTTAAAATAGAAAACATAGCTATTGATTTAGTTTGGGGAAATGTGTGCTAACTAAACAAAAGTAGAATACTGTCTAGTTGTATTGTTTATTTTTTTTCACTTCTAGAGTGGTGAGTCCAGGATGATCTTTCATTTTCATTATACTACATGGCCAGACTTTGGAGTTCCTGAATCTCCAGCTTCATTCCTGAACTTCCTGTTTAAAGTCAGAGAGTCTGGCTCACTAAGTCCTGAACACGGACCTGTAGTGGTTCACTGCAGTGCAGGGATAGGACGTTCTGGCACGTTTTCATTAGTAGACACTTGTCTTGTTCTGGTAAGTGTTTAGCCACTTTCTGTCACCCCTTTCCTTCTTCTGACACCCTGCCTCTCTTCCCAGTATGGACTTCTTGGACAGAAGGCTTTAATAGTATGTAAGTGGATGACATACCAGTCAAAATTAAGACATTAATTAAGACATCATATTTTTTTTCCTCTTCACGTATGTTGATGGTTTAAAGCACAACTCTTGAAATACATTAGAAATTTTAAAAGCTTCCTGGGAAGTAAATAGCAAGCATTCTTTTCCTTTTATATAAGATGTGTTTAGAAAAGATTGAGATTTTTTTTTATATGAGCTTAAAATTAGGCTTGTGAATATATATTGAGACAACTGAATGTATAAGTATTTTTCTCTAAACATGGAATATCTCGCAGGTCTGACAGGCCCCTTTTCGTAAGGTTGCATAAAACTGGCACCTGAACTAGGACCAGAACTGGGCATGCCCCTGCATCTCCTGCAGTCTGTAATGGAAGATGGTTCCCTGGCTGTGTGGCCCTCTGGGAGGTGGGGCTTGGTAGCCAGTTGCAGTACCACCTGAATGAGTAGGTTTTTTGCTTACTCAGTGAACCACATCATCTGTAATTCATCATGATTCGCGTTAACTTTAAATATTAAATAATATTTAAATTCTCTTTAAATTTTTGTTGGATTTTGAAGTCCAGACACAAACTTTTTCTCTTTGGCTGTGCTTGGTAATAGTAAGTACAGCACGGGGTTAGGTGAAATACAATTTGAACAAAATCCTAAGACATTTATCTTCTGGTTTGGTTAGGTCCTCTCAATTTATTTTTTATTTTCAGTTTTTCTCTTTTTCTACATTTTGAAAAACACAAATGTATGTTTTGATATAAGTGTACTTTAATATTAGATGAATTACAGTGAACATTGCAAGAAGTGGAGATACATGGTTAAAAGCACTTCATGAATTTAGTGTGGGGACAAGTGTGTGGGTTGCTCAGATTAGGGATTCTGCTTTAAATAAGGAAACTTCTGCCACATTGGATCATTCCAAATTGCTGTTCCCTTCAGGAGCAGTAGGAAATACTGCTTTATGGTTCTGATTCTTATAGTCCTATTTCAAAGTACAAATACATGCCTGAATAAAATCAAGCATGTCTAAATTTCTTAATTTTAAGACTTGATATTAGGTTACTGATTTATTTGGTTAATACGTGATCATTGATTTGTTTGTAATAAGTTTTCATTACATGGTTAACTTTTTTCTTGTAAAAACAATTTAGAAACAATTTGAGATGTTAATTTCATATATAACTAATAGAAATATGAAGAAATTAATTTTTAGATTTAATTTTATGACTCATTTTTACTTGTAATTATTTTGTGTGTTGTCTCTCTTTATCAATAGCAATGATGCTTTTGATGTAACTTTCTTTACAGATGGAAAAAAAAGACCCATTTTCTGTAGATATTAAGAAGGTATTACTGGATATGAGAAAATACCGAATGGGACTTATTCAGACTCCTGATCAACTAAGATTTTCGTATATGGCTGTAATAGAAGGAGCAAAATTTATAATGGGAGATTCAACTATACAGGTAAATGTTTAGCTCCATGTGTTTAAACACAAACAGTAGACAGCTGACAGTAGTTAAAAATGTGCTCCAAACTATTCTGAAAGATGTAACTTTGTGGGATTTAAATAATTTGCCTTTTTCAGTAGATACTTAGAAGGTATTAGAGGTATCTGATCAGTGGCCTTCTGTCAGCTCAGCTTCTAATCATAGGTATTTGTCCTCTCAAGTAGAACATAAAAATAACTTGTCTGTACTAATGTTTTTTTTAAAAGAAAAGGTTAAATCAATATCTTCAGTACTGAAAAGAAAAAGTAATGCCTAGTATCACTTTGAAAAGATAGTGAGGATCTTTTTAGTATTTCTTGATCTTTGCTTTATATTTTCCTAACAGTACAGTTGCCTGATGCTGCAGATCAGGATTACTAATAAAGTTGCTTTTTTCTTTTAATACATCCTTCAAAATTTGTCTTACAATTAGTAGAATCTAGCCAAATATAATAAGTTTTGAGGTAAACTGATTACCAAATCTCATTATTTTATCAGTATGGCTATTTTATTAGTAGCTACAGCTATTTTAAATGACTGGGGCTAGGTGAGAGGGAAGACTGGGAGTAGAGGCTGTGAAACAGGCTTAATTCTGCTTTCATGTGCTACGGCTTTTATTTTATTGATTTCTTAAAATGATGAATGAAGCAGATAAACTAAAACACATTTCCTTTTCTGTGGTTCTGGTAGCTGTCAGATTGTTCTCTATGACAAATGTTTCTTGACATGCTACGTAAATAAATAAATAACTCTGCACAACTTCTAATCAACACCTCAGTAGTGTGCTGCTAGTCTGACACGTGCGCCATATGCCTAGAAGAGTGCATGAATCATCCTAATGCTAATAGCAATTTAGCCTCCTTATTTTCTGGAAGCTGTTTCTGGTGGTATGAGGGTATTCTCTCTAATAATTTTTCTGCTTTATTTTTTAAAAAGCCATGCTCCAAACAGCTCTGGTTCCCGCACTTTCCCATCTAGATCACAGGATTTCTTGTTTCTGGATACAAGGGAGCGTTGTCAACTCAGAATACTGCTTGTCAGGTTCAAGTGCGTTCTTTCCTCATACTAAGAGAATGCCGAAGAAGGCATGCTTCTCACTTGTTCTTTTTTTCTTTTTCTTGTTAGGATTGTTCAGATGTTTTTTCCTAAACTGGTGTTTTCTGTAGTACAGGCAGTCATCCCAGTGCTTTTCTCTTTAGGCCTCAGGGTCATATGCAGAAAATCAATTGGCAGTATTTAACAGGAGTGTTTCTCCTCTCAAGGTCAGCTAGATTTTTTTTTTTTTTCTCCTTTGTAGGGAACAGTTATACTGTCCAGAGTGTGAGAGGTGCTTCTCTTCGCTAGTGATGGACGGGGCATGAAGTCATTGAACACTTCTCTGTAGCTGAAACAATTATTTGCTTCCTATTTACACTATAGCTCTGCATTATGTAAAATGGGTGAGGTGGAACAAGACTTATTTTTTTGTTGGGCTTGCAATTTTTTTCCAGTTCTGTCTTTTTTAGGCAGTTATTGCACACAAGGTCCTACTGTGTTTTGGAGCCGTGATAGGTAACAGCACCGTGATGTTCTGTTGGAAGACATCTTGGGCAATGAGGGCCTTCAGTGTTAGGGCAATGTTTTAAATATGTTCTCCCTGTTTGCAGAAACGGTGGAAGGAGCTCTCTAAGGAGGACCAAGCACCAAGTTCTGAGCAGTCTCCTCCACACCCAACCAGAATAACCACAGAGAAGTACAATGGGAACAGCATAGGCCTGGAGAACAAAGATCAAATGGAGAAAATAAATACTGACCTGTCCACTAAAGTTCAGGATATCACAGATGGAAACATTGAAAGGTAGGCACAAGGAGGAAATGGTTTAGAAGGCAGAGAATCTCTCTTGAGAGGCTGAATTTATTGAATGCTTTCCTTACTGTAAAAAACCTTCAAGATCTTTATTCAGTTGAGAGAAAGAGCAGGAGGTATTTGACTGTCTTAATTATTTTTTTTAAATACAACTTCAGTTATTCCTTGTGATAAACCTTTATTGTTTACATGTCAAGAGAAGAACAAATTTCTCTAATTGCAGCAGCTAAACCTCATGCTTTGAAAGCCTTTTCTGACAGACTGTGAACTCCATTGTACAGTGTGAATTAGGTCCTAAAAGTGCCCGACGTAATTCGATACTGATTTTTAAATACAATGCTAACTTCTGTTTGGAAAAATATCTCAGAAGCACAAAGTTTTTCTCACCTACCGCTTTCTGTACGCTTAAATACTCTGAATGCTCGCATATAGTACTGACAGACTGTGAACTCCATTGTACAGTGTGAATTAGGTCCTAAAAGTGCCCGACGTAATTCGATACTGATTTTTAAATACAATGCTAACTTCTGTTTGGAAAAATATCTCAGAAGCACAAGTTTTTCTCACCTACTGCTTTCTGTACGCTCAAATACTCTGAATGCTCACATATAGTACCTGATGTGTGCATAAAAGCAGCCTCTGTGCAAAAAAATCTCAGCCACTGAATGGGGCACTGACAGGGGTGAACTACTAAGCTCAGGTAATTAAGCTAATGCTGTTCCCTGGTGAAGACTTATGTCAAGCACCACTTACATCTTTACATACGTGATTTACTACCTTCATAGGGCTTTGCTGACCTGAAGCTGTCCATGTCAAGATTGTTAAAACAGAATAAAGAATGCTTGGTTTAGATTTTTCTATACTGCTGCCATGTGCTACTGTTGGGTTAACTGTTGGGAGTGTGTTGGGAAGAGGTTTGTTTTAACACTTTAATAGCCTTTTTTGCTGTTCTGCAATTTAAGATTTACCTTTTTTTTTTCTTTTTCTCTTTAAGTACTGTCCGAAAACGACTGCGAGAGGATAGAAAAGCAAACACAGCACAGAAGCTGCAGCAGATGAAGCAGAAGCTAAATGAGACTGAAAGAAAAAGAAAAAGGTGGTTATATTGGAAACCTATTCTCACTAAGATTGGGTTTGGTACACTGATTTTAGTTGGTGCTTATTCTTGCTGGAAAATGTATTTTCAAGAACATTCCTTGTAAGTAAACAGTAAGCCTGTCTGCTCCAGCAGCTAATTTTGCTGAAAGTTAATGACTAGGGGTGTGACTTTAAGCAGTAAACTCCCTACCCCTGGAATGGGTACAGACCCTTACATACCATAGAGCAGCGATGTAATCTTGATCACATGTCAACATCTCAGGACTTTCCACTGCAGGTACTTACAGAAATGAACTGCTGCCCCTCAACAGAGTTTATGGGTTTTTTTGTTTATATGAGCAGGTACAAACTTGCTGCAACTGTTTACACACTTTTTAAAATGGTGTTCTACCAGATCCTAAGCAAACCTTGAACCACAGAGGTTTAGCTACTGAAGGCTGTCTGGATTTAAATTTACATGCCTGACATAAGCAATAAACAGTGTTGTATCATTTACCTTATTAATGCAAAGAAGTTATCCTTAAATGTGTGTAATGTGTAATGTACTAGTGACATGAATATAAACATTTTATATTCTTATGACCTAGGATAAATATATTTTATAATTGCATATTTAATCTTTTTGTAGTTCACTGTACTTTTAAAAGCTCAGTTTGTACAAATTTCTGACCAAAAAGAATTTGATTTTGAAACTAAATGTAATTTGTGCATGAAAATGATAGTGCAACCATTCCCCGTATTTTGACTCTCAAACTTATGATACGAGCAGCTAGGGGTCTGATGAAGCACTTCGTAGTTTCTACTCTGTTAATTTGCATTCCTTATTTATTTTTTTGTAGTTTTCATTATTTAAGTAAGGTTTGGCAATTTGAATTTTTTAAAGGCTTTTGAGAACTTAGCCCCCACTGAAAAACATACTGTTAAGTTGATTAATGTATTCAGACTTCAGCTACTGTTTGAAGGCCAACATTGTTAAAGTTCTGACATTCCATTAAATGTGAAGCATAATGTTTCGTGTGTCTATAGATTTTAATTGCTAGAAAGAATAAAATTGATTCATCAGTATTGGTGTAGAAGGCGCATCAGAGGAAACTATAGTTGGACTTCTGAGGGTGGTTATAATAGAAAACAAATGTTGGCAGCGTTCTTCTGTACCCGCACAAAGTCTAGAATTGCTTTTCAGGTTCCCCAGCGTTGTACTGAAGAGGCATGACTTAAAACACTTAATAACTAATAGTTTGGGAATACCTGTACTACAGGCTCTTTAAAATTACTGAGCACTCCCTTTCCATTAGTTGGATGATAACACTTTCTAAATAGTCATTCAACACAAGTCACCTTCAATCCTTTAAATTCTCTTTGACTACAGAGATTGTCTGTGGCTGTATGTCACTTGCTGTCATTCAAGTTGAGACCTAACAATCTGTAGTATCAGACTGCACTTTGAAACCTGGATTTTATTTATTCAGGCATTGCCTTGTTGGATGACTTCAGAGAAGTCGTGTTTGCTCTCTTCATTTTTTCTAGCTCTGTTGTCTTCTGTTGGATATGAGGCTTTGGAGATTTTCAGGGGGGGTGGGGTGGTGTTTGGGGGTTTTTTTCCCCTCCCCCCTCCTTTGGTCCTTTTGTCAAGTACTGTTTGGATTTACTGCTGAAAACTACTAAAAGAACTAAATAATTACTTTGCTCCTTATCCAAAGGAATTAACTGGAAAGGTTTCCAGTATGTTCAAGCTTAGTAGTAACGTATCAGGCATGGGGCCCAGGTAGTCTGACGTTTACTACGCAAAGCTAAGTTGAATTTACTCTTTGAAATACGCATTTCACAATAGCCAATACTATTTTGGACTACGCCGTTTACATAGTAAACAGATTCTTAAGGGTCCAGATAAGGAAAACAAGTGTAGTTTCTTAGAACATACGGTTCTGAATTTGGGGAGTTGTGTGTCAGTAAACCAAGGCAGTTTGTCCTGTGGCGTTACTGACCAAACTCTGCAGCTCTCGTAGCAAAATGACTTACCGATTGCTTTCAGTGTAGGCAGGCAGCTTACATATATTGAGGTATTTTGTAATTTTTATAACCACAGTAACCCTTTTAGCCACCAGGAGGTTTGACAGAATTTTTTTCCCTTTAAATAGGGAAGGCAGGTTTTTCAATGTCAGTTGTAACTGGTAGTAGATGTGCCTTATGAAAGATATTTTGGTCATGGCAAAATACATGGAATGTAATTAAATGCTTTTGTAACAGAAATATTCCAGATTTGATTCTAAATACTTAAAAGCAGCTAAGGAAAAAGTGTAGGCGAAACCTTCACTGAAATCATACTGCCGTTTATCGCCTTTCTGTTGGCACAGGGAGGATTTCCTGGGCCACCGGGATCCTACAGACACTGAGATCTAACTGCATCTGTCAAGCTGTCGCTTGAATTTTTTCCTGATTCCATCTTCTAAATCCTGCCTTTTTGTTCTCTCCACCCTCTCTTCTGGGTGGGGCAGGGTGGGAGGAGGGCATCTTACATCATCTCATGCTCTTTTACCTTCTTGATGCAATAAAGCAGGACTTGCACATTCAACAGTTGATCTGTAAACGTTTGGGTTGGTTCTGTGATTGTAAGTATCTCGAGAGTCTTCACTGTTAATAATTTAAGGACCACGAACCTATGCAAGTCTTGAACAAAACTGTTTGGTAGAGCAAAGTGTCCACGACAGGATGGGCATAGGAAGGGAAATGAAACATCAGATCCCTTGGTACCTGCCAGGAGATAATTTGGATAAAACTCTGCTTTCTGGCCCACCAGTAATCCTTAGAACGCAGAACCCCGGGGAGACTCGTTCTCTTTAGGGCAAACTGAGCCCTTGTGATACTTTGTTGTTCTGCAAGATTTAAACTTGCAGCAGTTTTGCACAGCTTGGGTGTTAAATAGGAACAGATCCGGGCCAAAATGAACAACTGCCCATGCCAGTGACCTCTTGGGTAGGAAATGCTTAAAGAAAGAGGAAAAATGCAGGACGTGCCTTCTGACCCCCTTCCTGCCTCCCCCTGCCTCAATTTCTGGCAAGCTGCTGGCTGGTCCTGGGCTACTTCTAAATTGCTGTTGCACTCGATTCAAAGTGTTGCTGCATTGGGTTTTTCCCTCTGTTCTAGAAATACATCAGTCAAAATAATTGATGCATAGTGGGCTTCTTTGATGAAACAATGTTTGACTCTCAGATGAACACTTGTGCACAAATCATGCATGTTTTAATTAAAAATAAATCACTAATAGACATGTGGACCTCCATTGCAGGAGGCTCCGTTCACAATTTTGGAGTTAGTCCTTTAGGCTTTCTGTTTATGCTCTTGGTGCAGGGATGGTCCACTTAGTGACAGTACGTCTGTATTTTTCTTGAAATGTATTGACTAGTTGAATTCAGTGTCAAATAGTGATTTGAAAGGAAATTATTTCATGGGAGTGAGATGTTGCAAGTGAAACTTTGCTTCTTTTGTTAAACCTTGAGTAAAACGGTTTACTGACTTTTTTTGAAAAGGGAAGAAGTGTAAATGTGTACGCATGTACGTGTGATTGGATTGTGCGATTAAAAAGCCTGGCTAGCTTTATGTTTAATCAATGTTAACCAAATGATTTAGTTTGCTCTTTGGCGTTATAGTTAAACCTGAGACACTTGAGGACTGCACAAGAAACTAAATTAACGCTGACAAAAGAGGAAGTCTTCTGCATGGCCAGGTGGCTTAAGTCAGAGGACGAAAAGTTGCAAAGTTGACGTAACACGCAGTAGTCTTCCTGGGCTTTTTTGTTTTCTCCCAAAGTTTTAGGTCAGTTTTTCATTTTTATGTATGAAAAATAAATGTGTTCAAAATTGCATCTCTGTCTGAGTCTTTATTTAAGTTGGAAGGAGAAATACTTGGAAAAGTTGTGGGGTTTTTTAATGTGTCTTCACTGATCAAGCTGCTTCACGAATCAGTGTAGTGCTTGCAGAACTTAGAAGCGTTTTACTTGTAGTACCTTGTCAGTACCAGGGGTTTTCTCTTGTGTTCCTCGGAGTAGAGCCTTACCTTCCCTAAGAACAAAACGTTGGGGTGTCTTCCTCACTATAAGACACCTTTGCCTAGGAATGCTTAGTTCCGTGCCGCCGTGCCAGGGCTGGCCCGCAAAGCCGTGAGGGGCGAGGGTAGTGTTCTGAGGTGCAGCCTTCTGTAGTCCTGCTAAGACTTCTGCACTACTTGCCGATAAACGCAGGAGTAAGTGCTTTGCTGGGCTGAGACCTGCACTGGAAGCTCTCCAGCAAGTTACGTGCCTTATGCTGTAATATGGAAATAACCACCTGAAAAAGCAATGGCTTTTTTTTCTTGGAGTGCTTGCTGCAGGCAAACGAGGCGGTAGTCGCTGCAGGGAATGCATGAGAAGCTGCTTGGTGTTTGTAGCGAGTTGCAAACCCGCGCTCTTTTTTTTTTTTTTTTTTTTTTTTCTCTGTACTGTATACTGAATCGGTGACTTTCTTTTGCGTTGTATGTCGCAGGCCGAGACTGACTGACACCTAAACCTTCAGGACTTGTGAATATTCTGCAGCTATAAACTGCAAATTATTGACATGCAAAGCAAGACATGAGCCCCTCTTCGGGAACAAAAAGTGAGGTCTGTTAAGTACCAAGAAGACCTCAGTTATCTGTTTACAGCGTAAACTGCAGCGAGGGGATGAAGACCACCAGCAGCGTGCTACTTTGCGAAACAAAATAATTTGCTGTCTTGTGTTTTTATAATGCCTGTATTAATGTAGAAAGATGTAAAAGAAATAAATTAGGAAATATTTTGTTTTGTACTGCCATTCTTATTGTATTTTTATACTTTTTGGCAGCATTAAATATTTTTTTAAATTGACAATATGCTGTTGTGTGCACGTTATGTTAGGGAGAAACTGTTAAGAGCCTGTTTTGTGGAAAAAGAGATGTTTCCCCTCAAAGTTTCCCAATATCCTGTCTTAACTGGAAAATGGCAAAAGGGTTAGAATGTGCTTTATGCTAATATTTATGCTAGTATTGTAGTTTTGAGCCAAGGAGCTCTTGCATATTTCTCTTGTGATACACCACTAAGAATATTATTTCATTCATCTGACCGGTTGGTTTGGTAATCCTTACGTTTGCTATAAAACACGCACAAAGCGTGCAGTGGTTTGTCGATGATGCTTTGAAGGGAGGGAAGTTGGGAAGTCCAACCTCTTGCTACCCATGGTCATGTGTAATTAATGGCTGTTGAGGGCCAGGTGCAAAGCACACAAGGTGAAGGGCATCCTTAATCAAATGGGGTTCAGATTGTGTCAGCAGGGCAGCAGTAACGTGTGATTCTACATCTGCTGTCAGTGATGCAGTTGGAGCAGGTTGCTTAAAGGACTTCTCCTTACGGACTCAGCAGCGTTTCCGGTCTGTGCCTTCTGTAACTGAGCTGACCTAAAGGCTGCACTTTCAGCCGTTCTCTGAGGGTTTCAGATAAATCTTTATTCACCAAAAAAAATGTATTTAATATGATTGTCTAAACTAGTATGTGGTGGGGGTTTGTATGCAGTTTGTACTTTGTGTATTTTTGTTACAAATTTTTTTTGTACAAATCATGCCATTGCTGAAAGTAAAGCATGGAAGGGGGGGAAATGTTGGACAATTAAGGGTAACTTTGTGAAAATAATCAGCGGCCTGAAATCTTAACAGAACTTGGTTTCAAGGCTCGTTCATGAAAGCAAGTATGTTCAGAGTGGTGTTCAACTTGAAGGTGACACTGAATCAGGAGTACTTCATGCTGTTACTCCATCCTTAGTGCTTTACACCATCCCCCCCACCCGAGTATTCCTCACACTGAATCCTTTTCCGGCCCTTTTCTGTTAGCAACACAAGCTGCATTGTGCTTGAAGAGGAACCCAAGAGGAATTGCCACCAGTTTTGACAGCTCATTACTGCTTCCCAATGTTTTCTTTACTTCCCATTCCGCTCCGTGTTAAGTTTCTGATTAAAAAATAAGCTCTACTGCTTTGCTTTTCTTGCTTACAGCACTTGAAAAAAAGCTTCAGTATGCTTTCATGTCTGTAAAATGCGTTTCTATCTCATAACTATTATCAGTTTTAAACTCCCAGAAACTCATTGCAATTGTGTCATTTTGAAAGCCTCTGTGGGAGGGTTTTGAGTAACTGCTTAGTAGTTGTAGTTGCAACATCAGATAGCAGATACCCCAATTCAGATCCTGATTTTTATTTTTTAAATAACGAGCACTTACGCTGGGGAATCTTACAATTTTTTGTGCCACAGGGTTTATTTTTCACAATATGTTAAAAAAAAGTTTGTGGCCTGTCTGGAATGGTCAAGGCTTCATCCTTACTATCAATAAGTAAGTATCTTATAACCCAAATTTAGAACTGACCTTTCTGCAGTACACTGATCAATTGCGTACTGCTCCTTCCTAATTTGGAGAGAGCGCTATGGAATCATTTTTACAACCATGAATCTCTGATAAAGGTAAGCCAAGGCATCTTGCTCGTTAAAACCACCAGTCCAACAAACAAAGGTAACGTTGTCACACATACAACCTCCTAGCTGGAGGACGCAGTAGTTTAACTCATCCTTGTTCCGAGGATCTGCGCGCTCCAGAGGGAAAGACTACTCCTAACAGTGCAAGGCAGAAATCAAACAAGCATGAAGTTCATCATAACTTTAGAGACCATGGAGAATGTTAGAAGAGCTCCAAGTGATAAAATAAGAACTTTAAGTCTTTGAACTGCTTGCAAATATTAGATTTCCTGACTCATACGTTTTGTTAATAGCTGAAGTGAGATGACAGTAGTGGAGAACTGCTTGTGACTAGCATGGATATAAAGGTCAGTCAGTCCAAGGAATAAGAGCAGAGAATAAGGCCAACATGTCTTAATATAATTTTGTATTTTCCATTGCCTGACTTTCTCACAAATTTATTGCAAAATTTAGATGAAAAGGTTAAGAAACTGTAAAAGAATAGTTTAAGGGTAAGGGGGCGGGAAAGCCACCCTAGCTACTGCTGGTTAACTACACGATGGTGCTTTTAGGTTAAAATACATACAAGTACTACTTTCTGTTTTCTTAGGGATCTTGCCATTACGTTATAATTAGGAGCTTACCTGATGCCTTCACGTGATGTATTCTCTGAGTTAGTTAGTGCACAAACAGGTCTTCTTCAGCTGCTTAACTACCAAAGGAACAGCAGGTGCTAGGGCAGCGTCTTCTCTGAAACCATGATTTCATTCTCCGTTCCTGTTAACCTCCAGAGCAGGTTGTCAGTGCAGTGTCTGGCCGCCTGCCTGCCCTGCCTTTGAGCACACAAATCATAAGGGGCTACTGGCACATCTATATACAGAAACACTCCTAGAGCCTTAAAAAATCTTGGTTGGTTTGCATGCTTAATTGCATTGCTTTATTTGTAAACAGTTGAAAGAATTTAATTTTTAAGATGTTTTTTTAAAAAAGTCTTGATCTTTATTAAAAAAAAGCAACCTGAGCAAACCTTGTAACGTCAGTACTGGTTTAGTCAAAATGACAGCAAAAAAAGTACTACGTCTAAGCTATTTGCGAGAATATTTTTGTGAGAAATTGCACCTTTAATCAGTAAAAGAAGGAAAGAAGAAACAACTTTCATGCTTCAGAAAAATTCTGAATGCTGCTTTGCTGTGGTCTGGTGGTCAAACACTCTTGCTGTTGCTTCAGAATCCTTGTTTTTCTGGCTCCAGCTTTTTATCACTGCTTCTCCTTGTTCCAAGCCATTCTAATTTTGATTGAAATTTAATCTATTATCCCAGCTGCTTTGATTTTGATTAATATAGTTTTGCATTTAAATACCTTCTGAACTATGGCTTCTCAGATGCCACTGGGCATACATCAGACTGTGTCTTGATTAATACAACCGACAGAAATTTTTCTTACCTGATTAACTTTCTGTGGATGCCCAAGCAACACTGCTTGTTGCCCAAATAAGGTTTTACCCTTCAGATTTTTTTTTAATTTACTGTTTAAAAACCACAGAACTTGGCTTCAGTATTTCAAGTTCTTTTAGCACCCTGCATATTTTAGATCTGCACAATATATTCTGGATTTTGAACAAAGTTGCATGCCTGTGGTGTCAAACAGCTGCAGCCAAGGGTTTGCTATTTGTATGATACAAGTGATTTAAAGGCTGTATACAAGTGAACTCCTTACAATGCAACACATGTACTCCACAACTTGTTTGCAGTACTGAGCGTCACCTAGAACACCAGGTTGCAGATGGCGGAGATGTTTAATAAGCGTACTGCAGTGTGGCTGACGTTCACAGGTGTTAGAATAAGGACACTTGTGAAATAGGCAGTTAATTTGATCCCAAAGGAACTAAGTACTTGGAGCCAACTAAAGCTTATACAATCACCTTAAAATGCATGCAGATTAAAAAAAAAAGACAACCCCCCCCCCCCCAAAAAAAACAAAACACAGAACAAAAAGCCCCAAAAGCCCTAAGAAACTTAAAAAGCTTGTGCCTGTCGATAACCCCTTTTTTCCCCCCCACAGCAACATCCTATGATGGTTGGAAAAGCCTCATGAAACATCTCCAGTGCGCATATAACTATTTCCAAATAGCCATAGTCATGGTGTAAGCAATACACGAGCTGTGGTTGAGGAGCTGGCTCTTTGACAGATACTGTTCAGTGTCTTGCAAGTTAGTGTAACAAAAGACACGCCTTCAGAGCTGCTTCTCTACAGTCATTACAGTTGCAATTATCCGAGCCCTGCACAAATGCAGGAATGTTCCCATGCTCAGCTAGTAGAAGGACCTACACCAAGGTAATGCAGAGTAGGCATTCCTCCCCTTCGTTCTGAAGAATAGTTTTCTTCTGAGGAAAGCCTCGAGGTACAGCTGATTTAAACAGCCATCTCCATCATGTTGGTTTGCTCAGTGATTCCAAGAGAACTTTACAAGTTAATATTTTGCCCCCTTTAAAAGCCATGATTCCACGTAGCAGCTGTCAGATCGAAGTGTTCTTACCCACATCCATCCACTCTTCTAAAATAACAGTTTATGTTCTGAGATGATGTTTAAACTGCTAGGCCGTTCCTTCTTGACCTATTCTCTAGTACTTCAGCAAAGCCCCAACTCAAACCAAACGTGGTCACTAGACCATGCAGAGGAAGGGGGAACTCAGTATCTCCGACAGCTTCATTCCAAGGTCAGCTGCTGAGTCTACTGGTAAATCTGATACACCCTGCTGGTTTTCGGGTCTAAAGCCCAAACCAGAACCATGATCAGCTTCAACTTCTGACTTCTTAGAAGGTCAGATTCTAATCAAGGAAAATTCATCCTCAAATCAGTCTAAGAAGGCTCATCTACCTAGAAAGCTTTAGTCTTAGCGTCTCTGCAGTCCTGGGAAGCAGAATGGAAATTACACAATGGAAGTAGACCAGAAAAGATAGAACAGGCTGCTAGATCACTTGCAGTCTCCCCAGCTGAAACTACCACACCAGCACTGGGAAAAGAAGGCAGAACTAGTCACTTCTGAGCTTTTGCTTACATCACCAGGAAAGTTTTGAAAAAAAGCCAAGGTACACATTTGACATGGAAGAGTAGGGTTTTATCTTCATAAGAAAATCTATGCCTGCACATCAATCTCAAGTTCTCAGCTACATTAAGAAAGTGCACCATAAGCTTTTCCATAGCAATAACACTTAACCAAAGAAAAAAACTTTTTTTAAAAAATACTTTATTAGAAAAAAAATTCAACCAAAGTTAATTGATAAACAACTGTACAAAACATATTTCTTTGGTCAATTTGTGAAAGTTACCTTAATTTCTTTAGCTACCCACATATGTGAAAGGAATTTTTCTTAAATAAAAGAATTTATATACACAACAAATTGAGCTGCTGTTGCTTGGCAATTATTATGTAATCACCTTCTCAAGGGACGTTTGAGGCTGCACATGGGACTTAGAGAAGAATTCAAAACCGATCAGAAGAGTGCAGGTGGAAGACCATTGCCAAAAAGCAAGCGCCAAGAACTTGGCATTTTCCATTGTGTAGAGGGATCTGTGGAATTGTTGCTCTGCAACAAAAGCAGAATAATTCTTTAAGTTTTAAATAATGATACTGTAACTCTACCTCTGGCACATCTATTAAAATAACGGGCAGCATTTCAAGTGTCAATATCATTATGGGTTGGTTTAGAGAAGAGCATTGGAAGATCAAACTTGATCAAACCTTTACGCAATTTCCCCCTGCATCTGTCAAACAAAGGGACTGGGGTTTTGGTTTGCCTTTTCAGGTGGGGAGATTCCCAGTGAGACTTTAATCAAAATGGATCTTTACTTTGGCATATTCTTGATGACCAAGGGCCAGAATGAACCCAACCCATACATTTGTAACTTGTCTAAAATTCAGCTGAATAACATTTTTCATGTTCTGAAGAAAAATGAAAGTAATGGATATAAAATGTGAAAGCAAGAACCCCAGATCAAACAGCACTTACATCGCTTTTAATTAGCTGGAGCCATTCATTAAGATAGTTAACAAGAGCAAACGCATCAGGGATGTTGTCCCCTTCTGAGCAGAATTTCAGAAGAACTGCCATTTGGATTCCTTTTGAACAGCTGCAACAAAATGAGCAGGCATTTCTATTTCTTCTCTAAATCCAAAACAATTCTATTTATGTACTAAGAGCAACAACAATCTGCATATGGCTTGTTAAAAAAAGCCCCAAAACCAACAACAACAACAACAAAGTCTATGTATAGATTTATTTTTTTTTCCTCTCCAAATTTCCTTGATTGCATTTTCACAACTCATGTTCCTTCTCGTAGTCTTGAATTTGTTCTTTGCTTTGTGAGGCAGGAATTCTAGGTCATGGAAGAGTTACTCAGGGCCTCTTTTCCATACTTAGTTTGCAGTTTTTGTGCTGGTGGGGCATTTATACAGATTCTTTGATACAATCACTCCTTATCTTTCAGTGTATTTCAAACGGCATTTTTACAGGCTGCGTATCACTACTTTACTCACAATATTCCCATTTTTTCATTTAGATATGAAAACTGTTTTTTTTGTTTTGGTTGTTCCCCCCCTCCCAAAGTCCTGGGAGGTCTTTTGTATTCATGTGTAGCTTTCATACTGAAGTCAGTACAAAGGTAAGTATGATTTTAGTAATTCTTCTGCTGTTGGATGCAACGGTTTGGACAGGCGTCAAAAACAATAGCTTAGAAAAAGTAAAAGTGAATTTTCCCCCCGACACAAAAAACCCGACCTTTTGCAGAGCTGACAGTTTTACCATAATGAACAAGTATTACTACGCAAAATTTGAAACTCAGGCATGATTGTAGCACAACTTGGGATGCACATACCTTTTAACAAACCCCCCCCACCTGATCGTTTGCTGGCCCTGAAATCTTAGCTCATTCTTAGTACTGAGAAATTTTTTTTTTTTTTTTTACAACTGATGATGGAACTATTTGTCACGGGAGACAGTTTTAGTTAAAGTACCACAGGCACAGAAATTTTACTATTTACAAATTGTGTTTTCCATAAAATCAGATACCAGATTAATAATGATATTAACTGTAAAGGCTTTATTATTTTCCATTAGCCTATTCACTTATATTTTTATCATATTTTAACTTTATGATGCAGAACTCCCTATTTTCTGGCATATTATATCCTCTAAATAGGGTCTTAATTATGAGCTTGATTTGGAAGAAGTTCTAGTCCTACAAAATGCTTTTCGATGAAAAGAAGGACTTTTCCTACAACATAGTGGTTTAAAAGATAATTTTGCCCATGTACTAAAAACAGGACTTCTGATATCTTTCTGTGCTGATCTTTAGGCAACCCACCTCTCAGTGAATAATAGTTTTGTGATGCCACCTCCAGGAATATGCAGAACTTTTTCTGTATCATTTATTCCAGGGTAAGCTGCTACTTTTTCCATTTCTTTCCAGTTTAGCTCCTTCATAAGGCCTTCAACTGCTTTCTCAAGATCAGGTGTAAGTAGGTAGCGTAGTGGTGTCCTATAAACAAATCAGGAGTACATTCGGTCTGACAATACAAGACACTACTGATGTTATTACTTCTGACAGAAAGAAACTGCAAGCATTAAGGACCTCACACCTGCAATGAAGAATTGCACTGACACTCCCTTTCTCCTCAAATCAAAGTTAAAAAGTAGTCTGTGGCCTCAAGACAGTATAAACTACTGAAGTTTCTGCCACAAACAGAACTAAGGCACCACCTTTTTAAAAGGGGCTCAAATACATAAACACATAAATAGGGGAACCGCTTACGGTTGTTGAAAAGATTTACAAATTAAATGTGCTTTTTCTTCCATCAGATTGGAGGTGATTAATTTAAAGTTAGTTAAGGTAAACTTGGACTTCATTGTGACAAATAAGCTCACACTACAAATATATGCAAACTTCAGTCAAGTCTAAGTATTTTCTGAATGCACCACCCTCACTCTTTAGTGAATCTGCTATAAGACAGTTATTCTGTGGTGCTGGGGAGGGAGTTAAATCACCACAACTTATGATGCAGATCGCATTGAATAACCATCAGTCCCTCTCATTTCATTCCACGTTAGCCGGCCATTCTGCAACTGTATGCAAATCTCCCTGGTAACTATATCTGGAACGTGCATGGACCTAAACCTCCTTTAAAGCCCTACACATTTATACAGTCTGAGGATAACAATTGGTCTTATGCGAAAATATTTAGTTTTGTTTGTCTGTTTTTGTTAAATCACCAATTATGATGTCCTCAATCAGCGAGTAATGCTTGATTTTTAAAGGGGTAATATCTACTAAATATACTGACTCAAGTCTGAACCTTGCAGTTGCCTCCCAACAAATAAGAATCAACAACTTTCTATAAAAAAAGAATGACAACTTACTATATTAAAGAAAACCTTCAAAATGCAGAATAATGAAGAGGTAAGAAACTAACAAATATTCTAATTGACTGTTAAAAATCTAATCTGTGACCTGTATGTTAGCAGCTAATCCCTGACATTGCTTGCAGTCACAGGAAATTAAGAAAATTGAGGTTCTGTTGGCTGACAGTACAGGCCAAGTGCAATTTACTTACAGCTTATTATTTGCTCAGTACTTTTGACAGTAGTAACTAACAAAGTCCAGAGACTAATCCTGTATAACATAATGTTTTAATAGCATATTAAGTATTTTATGACCTAGGTACACAGCAAAGCAAAAGAATCCTGCCAAAAGTACTCAGCAGAGGGAAAGATGTCAGTTTGTCAAAAAGAATGGAAACATTAATAGGTCTTTTAATGACACAAACATACCCAAGAAGTTGCTCATCATCGCGCTGGTATGCATGGCTGCTAGACAGGAGAACAACTCTGGCACATTTGCTGTTTTTCACCCAAGAAAGCAGTGTTTGACAGAATGGCCTGTACTTGTTCTTTATGCAAAGACAGGAAAAAAAGTGAAAAATACGTTGTGTCCTTAAAAAAGAAACCAAAAGCCAACAATACTAGGTGTCACATAGCATGTTTAGCAGTGGTGTAAATTTTTTTTCATAGCCATTTAGTCTTCAGCTTCAGCTATATTTTTAAAAAACAGAGGACTACTCTGGTTTTTTACGTAATCAAAACTACATATCTAATGATAAAAATTATCATTAAGACCACGTTAACAACAGCAGTACCACCTTTTTTTGTGTGTCGTTAATACCAACGGAAAAAGCTTTAGAGTAAGATGGGATGGTAGAATCACAGTATTTTACCACACTCTGAATTGCTAAAAACTGCGGCACAAATTTTTTAATCTGCTTATTTTAAATTAAAGCCATTGTCCAGTTAATTAGTAATTCTGACTGCTTCATTTTTTACATAATGAATGCAGTTCAAATATATATTAACACTACAAAATAATTAAACTGGGGTGACATAAAGAATTAAGCTATTACAACAAAAGACAAACACACAAAGACAGTAAGTGTAAAGGAAAAAAAAACCACGACAAAACCCAGAACATTTTGTGTTTTCGAGACTGTTAATAACTAATGAAATATTTACACTAAAATCTACCAACATAAGCAGGTTGTTCCAGGGCTTTGGAAAACAAAACAAAACCTCAACCCTCAATGAATACAGAAGTCAGTTTTTGTAGCTAAAATTCTACCAACTGCAGAAAGTGTTATAGCACAAAGTAGAAAAATATTTTGGTCTCTTTCAGTCTGGTGTGGACTTTTTTTTTTTTTAGCAAAATGTTTTATAATGTGGCATAGCTCTTCCAGCTTTGCTTATTTAGTCTGTTTGAATGTCTTAAAATTTACCTAGGCCACTTAAACTATTTGCCAGCAGAACTATTCAAACTGAATAGTGAAGTAAGAACAATCAATGAACATACATACCTTTATAAAAGGTGATCTGATCTGCAGAACTACAAGTTTCTTTGAAGGTAATGAATACACTGCAAGAAGAAATAATAATGAAGTTTTGTAAGAAGAAAGCAAGAAAGAGATTTGGGCTTAGAAGTATCCAGATTTATCCAATTTACAAAGTTCAGGATGATAAACCTTTCAGCTATTGATTCATACTGGAAAGCTTGAGAATATCCACAGTCTCAAAAATATGTATTTTTGTGCATTGTCTTCCCTGGACTTAATTTCATTTGTCATAAATTCAAAGGATCGAATGAAGTAAAATATATGACTATCTGCCTCCCATAATGATTCAGACAATCTATGCAACTTTGCAAAGATTATGACAGTTTATTCTGCTATTTCCATGATCTAAGAGGGGAAAAAAAAAAAAGATGAAATGCAATGGTCAATAAAGGGAAAGAACCTAAGAATCTGAAGGGGGGAGAGTGAGAAATACTACATAAGGAAAAGGCAAACATAGGTGGGAAGGAAGGGAGGAAAAATATCTTTCCACACCAGAAATTCAGCTTGCTTTCCAGCAGTTTACTGCAACCAAGTGCAACAACACTTCATGTTGCTTTGGATTAAACTTGCAGAGATTTTTGGCTGCACTGTAATATAGTTGAGAGTCAACATTTATTAGAGGTTCCATATGTCAAATTGGTCATCCAAAATAACAATAGTAACAGATTCGTCTGTAAAGTGTACATACATCCTTATCTGTAAGTTACTGAAGTTGTCATTACTGACGTTAAACATTGTTCACGTAAGCAAAATGTAACGACAACAACAACAAACGTAAATGTGACATTCTTGCACCTTATGTAGCTTGCAAGTACCTTCAGCATTCAATACCCACCTTCAGCATTTATACTCAGCTCCACTGAGTTTTCTTCTGCTGTTGCATAAGGATTGTTTCCAACCATGGGCACCAGGCAATCAGTGTAGAAGTAACCAACTTTAGTCATGTTGAGTGTGGAAATCACTAGATCTATTGCCAATTGACCAACATTTCCCACTGACACTGCTGGCTGAAGTAACAGAAGTTACTGAATTACAGTGTGTTTTATGGATAATACAATATGCATTTCAAATAGTGAAAGTTTAAATTACTTAAATTCTGGTCAAACATGGTTTCTAAATCTAAGTACTAATACAGACTTTGGCCATGTCCCACAAAAACATCCTGGCCACTTCTGTGAATAATCCTGTCTCACTGTAAAATTAAACAAAGGCTTGAAAACTTGTCTCCTCCTCCTCTCTTTTTTGGATACAGAGTAGATAAAAGTCACTCAAACAACCAATGCAGAGTTTGGCAGCCCTCAAGTGACACCTAACGGTAACGTTCATGTTACATATTAAAACTATAAATCTCAGATTAACACATATACAAGAGTAGGTAGTTTTTAATTTTTTAAGGGTCATCTTGGATTCATTTCACAGGAATTGCCATGGTTTATCACCAACTGGGGCAGATACTGACCTAATCTGATGGCACAGAAAGAAACGCAAGAATTTGTGTCCTTCTACAGAAACTAAAACTGGAAGACAACGGTAAAATTTTTGGTTGCTTTTCTATAATTTATAAGCAAGTGTCTACAAATTTCTGCTGCCACCAACTGTGGAAACACCGAAGTTGATGCTGATTAACTCATGGTGAAAGAGGACGTAACAGCACTCACAGACTGTCATTAGAAATTGGCTGGTATTCAATAGCCTGTTACTCCCAGACAAAGAAAACAGCAGTGATCTAGTTCCTGTGGCTAGTCAGCTGATCTGCAATGACTTCCCGTGCAGCCTGCACAGTCATCCCAGGCTGTGCAGCCCTCGATGAAAGGCGATAAGCCAATTTTAAGAAATACAGGAATACAGTAAAGGAACTCACTAACAGATAGAATAGTGGTTTGCTACTTCGCAGCCTGCACTGGAACTCTTACCCCACAATAACCAATGTAACCTCACATAGGTTATCTTAAATTGATTTAATGGCATATATGAAGATGATTAAAACACTTTCTAAAACAATCCTAATCGGAGTTTAAATATAGCACAAATGAGGATTTTTTCATTAAAAACACGTATATATCTCCTCTAAATGAAAAAAATAACATTTTATTCCAGCGCCAACCCACAAATACTGCAAATTTTGTAAGACAACAAACGGCACTTTAATCTTAGAGCGAAAGCATACAGTTATAGCTCAGCACATAACGCTTGGCTTGACAAAAGCAGAAAACGGGGGGCTGAGAAGAAAGAAACTGACGGAATTCGAGGAGACCGCCTTAAGCTCTGCTGGAAACAGCTCTGGGAAGGATCCCTGCAAACCCCGCTCTTTTACTCGGCAAAACAGCCGGCATACACACGGGCACAACAACCCCTGCCCTGCGCCTCTCCGTTTTCCCGCAGACAAGTACCCACGGACGACCCAGGCAGGGGAGAAACAGAGATCACAGCGCCCCGGCCCTCCTG